GTCCATCGTTTAGGCACTGTCCCAACAGTGGTGGAGGATAGCAAAAATCCAACATTCGGACCTCCCAAGCACTGACGTGGCACAGAATGTCTCCAAAAGAGGCCCAACCCCAACAACCAAATTTGGGTTTGGTGTCGGGTGGCGAGCAACGGTGAGCCCAGACCAAAATACTGATCCGGCATTCAATAGCAACTTTGATTGGAGGAGAATGGGTTTTGGATTCGAACATTCTGGAAGAAAAATAGAAATGAGGACGTAAACAAAACCAAAGTCAAGATAAAACGTAGATGAAAACAATGACAATAGCAGCTTGCTGCACAAACCTTCCGTTGTTGTTCGTTTGTTGTCGTTGTTGTTGTTGTTGTTGACGTAGTGGCAAAGTGCCAATCCAAGTAGACAGCCATGCCAAGGACCAAGCAGAACCAGCATTGCTTTGGCATTAAACCTGTCCGGCTTGACTATCTGTTTTCGAAGTGCAAGAAACAGGAGACTCACAGTTTAGTAGATGATCCTCACAAAAAGAAGAAGTGCAAGAAACAGGAGACTTGCAGTTTAGTAGACGCTGAAGCAACCATGACTGTCATCACCACGCCCCCAAAGCCCATCCAATCCCCCGCTGACATCACGGAAGAGGATCTCGCCAATATCTTGCCCCCAAATCCCTCCGTTGGACTAGCTGAACGCTACTTCAATGTCAATGGGTGTCGTCTTCCTGAGTTAATGGCCATGGCAATGGGCCTCACTTCTGTTGATGGACGTGAACTGGGCAATACTGACATTGAACCTTTTGTTAGCATGAAGTTCCCAAAAAGGTGGTGCCCACGGCAAAGGATTTGATGGAAGAAATCAAGCGCCGCTGCAAGCTTGACAGCAGCAAGAAGGCACCCTCGTGCAGGCACTGGAACAAGGACAAGCTCGTCAGTTGGTTGAAGGAGAACCCAATGTCTGACGTGATTGATCGCGTCTTTGTGCAACTTGAAGAAGAAAAGCTCTTCAACATGTTGACAAAGGCCGCAGAAGAGAAGACTGAAACAGCCAAAAAGAACCAGACTGGAGCTTGGGTGACCCTCGAGCCATACCTCAGGCTCATTGAGTGCTTCTTCCACGATGATAACCGCGAACTCCTGATGAAAACGAACAAGGCATTGACAAGGGATGAGTTGGACGCCAGAAACTCTGACCAAAGGCCTGTTGATTACTGGGAGGCAGTCGCTCGTATTTCAATGATGACAGCTATGTCTTTTTTTCTCGCATGTTACCTGAACTGCATCCCACTTTTGCGGATGTCATTGACCTTTCGTTCGACAAAGTGCCAGGTACCATCAGTGCCCAAGAAGCAGACGCAGGTTCAGCGACTGTCGTGCCAAGCTGGTCAAAATTGTTTCCAAGTGGGAGCTCAGCGGTAATGGGTTCGGTCAGAGGACAACAGAAGAGCCCCAGTTCGGTCACATGGAAGAAGAACAGCTCGAGGAAGGGGACAATCGTTCGAGCTTCCTTGATTCTGGAACTCGCGAACACATCCTGTATCTCTGGCATGTGGCGGACACTGAGGAGGTCATGAAGACATCTTGAGTTTATCTCGGTCAACTGTGCTGCTGATTCGGAGAGTTGCCAGTCTACTATGGGAGATGACAACGCTTCTGTCAACAGGAGGAAGAGAGAAGCCGAAGTTCGTGCCGTGGCTGAGTTTCGTTCTTCCATCAGCGATGCTCTGTCCAACATGTCCCACGCCGCTTTGTTGACCGAGCTACGTGAAGCTGAGAATCGCTGCGTCATGTACGAAGAACGGCCCTCACTACCGAACTACCTCGTGTGAAGAAACTCTATGACGAAACTGTCAGGAAGCTTGAGAAGCGAATCACAAAGATCCAGGAAATGGTGGATGCCATCATGGAGCAGAATGCAAGCGCCAAAGGACCGAGGAAGTCCAAGATACCGAGGAGGAAGATAGCATTGCCCAGAGAGTGGAAGCACTGGCTATTGAAAGTGGCCATGGTCGCATTGTTTGTGTTGTGTTGAAGTGAAAAGAAAAAAGGTGGCAAGTGTGCCTCTTCCATACCGATGCTGTAAAGCATGCACAACTCTCTCTTTATTGTTGACTTGCATGCGAGCATAGAGTTTGGTAGACATTAATCTCACTAGGAAGAAATGAAAGACTTAGCGAAATGGACTTGTAGACTTAGCAGTTTCTCTTTTCTTCGCCTCATGGCTCAATCGCCACCAATCGCTAGCAGATCTATCCATTTCGGCGAACGATCGCAGATCCGTTTGAGCGAGGACGACCGATTGTACTATACATTGCATTGATAGAAAACTGCGTGTGACTCGTAATGTTGGATCTATATGGATTAATAACTAGATAGAATTTGCAGGAGTGCGACCAAACCAGCTATTAGGCGTTGGTCGTGTGAGTTCCAAGCGTTCCACTCGCTCACACATAATGTCGCGAGGGAGTGGCGCATCCAATCTCACTCACTGATGCGCACACTCCTGCTAGCATCATCGAAATGTTCTCCACCATGAAGCAATCCCTCTGGTCTGAAGCCATCATTATTGTCAGCAGCGCGCCCACGCACCACCCAACACAATGTTCAACTCATCGGATGCTAGTAGATCAGCCATGTCTTTGTCTTGTTGCTCTGATGGGGATTGTTGATTATTGAGTCTTTCGAGTCGCTCATTGATGCAGAAGTTGTGAAGTCGACACAAACAGCGAACCAAGGCTGTCACTTTGGAGATGGTCAACTTCGTGGATAATGGCCTCAACAGATACCCCAACGTCGGACAAGCATCCCAAAGGCACATTCAATGGTAATCCGGACATTCGAGTGGTAGTAGTTGTATGCGTCCTTTGGACCACCCGGACTGCCTTGTAAGGTGTCGCCATGTAGGAGTGTTGACATATGCATTGTGCCCAAACAAACACAAGCCCGACTTCATAAATCCCTCTGTCTCCATCTTCACGTACAGGGGACATGTGGTGAATGCAAGATAGTCGGAGGTTGAAGCTGGGTGTTTGATGGAAATGTCCATGAAGCGCCGTTCATGATCACATGTTGCTTGCATGTTCAGGCCAAATTTCTTCTTTCTGCCACAGAAGAACTTCTTGGGCCCACACTCTGCAGTGTCACAGTTCTTCTGGCTGGGCCGCTCTATCCAAACAACAATCCCATCGATTGCTCCTGCACAACACTCAAACACTCCACGACTCTTGACCTTGAATCCATCAGCAATTTTCTGTTGGTCCTCCCACTTGGAAGGGTAAGTAAATGCCAAGGCATCACACTGGTTTACTGCTCAACTACCTTCCAAACTGACCGATACACGTCTGTGTGACTTATTCCATGTACCAGGCAAATATCATAGGAAGCTCCACCTGCAAAGAACCTCAACGCAGAGCTCACTTTGGATGACAAAGGAATCAGGCGTTCTTTGCTCCAATCCTCCCCTTCTTTTTCTTGGTTGACTTTGGTTTCAAGTGGGGATGGAGCAAGCGGCACAGCTTCCAGAATGATGCTGGTTCCATTCGATAGGCCCTTCTCACGTAGTAGGGACAAGCTCATTGAAGATATCTGCGACTCTCTTCCTGGTTCTTGGGCGATGGGGACTTGGATCTGGCCTACGGTTCTCTTGAATTCCGAAGACTTCAGGAGCGCAGAGAGAAGAACAGCGCATGTAACAGCAAAGAAGTGTCCTGGTTTCATGGCTGGCGAAGCAGCAACCAAAGGTAAGAAGAGCAGCCCAATAGTACCGATTGAAGTATCATTGTCAGTGGTCGGTGTTATGAGAATCTTCAACAATCAGCTTCTTATTTTATTGTTGTTCGTGCATCTTCTTTCTTGTTCTTTCTATTACATGCCAATGCGCATCCAATGATGAAATCTCTCTCCTAAGATGACTCGACTCGACTCCGATCTGGCTAGCTAGCAATCGTCCAAGCCAAGGAAACTGAAGAGTGCGGAAGGATTTATTTGACCTATTTTCCAACTATTGGACCGCTTTGTCCAACTGTTGACCTTTAAGTCCAAACATTTGACCTTTAAGTCCAACTGCCAGACACAGGAGGTGAGCAGCATCATCTTTGTGTTCACTCCCTCCTGCGACTCACACTCAAAAGGACCTCAGACCCCAACAGCACGGCTTGTTGGCGGTACCACAGTATCTGCATGTCTATCCATCTATCTATCTACTAGAGCTACTAGAGGTCCTATGCTGTTTGTGAACGAGATGCCAAATGGTGTATGTATGTCTGTCTGTCTTTCTGCTTGATTGATTGACTGACTGATTGAATGAATGCAAAGAAAAAGGAGCTCAAGAAATATTGAAGAAGATCTGAAAACGGGAGACATCAAGGAACATCATCCTTATTCGAGCCCCGCTATTCTTTTTTTTTTTGATTTGGAGAGTGATGATGAAGATGATATCGATTGGGTTCCGCAAGACAATACGGAGTTTTTTCGTGGGGTTCTTGACAGGCATGGTTGTCCTACGACAAATGCCCTTGGCTCTCCAAGCGTTTACCGAACAGGAGACTGTGGTCAATAATCAGCCCACCAATAGCAGCGCCATCGCCATCACTATAGATACTACTTCAAGAATAGTTGCTGGTACCGAGGATGTCCAAAATAAGCATGTGGCCAGAGTCCTAGATACAGATACACAGCCACAACAACAGCCAGCAATCGAACAACAAGCAATGGAAACAGATCAAGAGAATCCAGTCCAACAAGAGCCTACAAATCTTCCACCACCACAGCAACAACAAGTAGATCAACAACAACAAATGAACTCACTGCAGTAGACACGGGTGATGGCGATGACATTCCCGCTGCCAGTTGGGAATCGAAAAACCAACCAGATTCCACTCTGCCACCCACGCCTCGGTCTTTCCACAATTCCTTCAAGACTACATAAAATTCCAATCAAAATCGTGGACATCCCGCCGCCAAATATCTCATTTGGAGATGTCCCGAACGGTAATTGCGGTGGTACCGGAGATCGCATCAAGGGCATTCTGTCCGCCCTTTACACTGCCATTTGTACCAATCGCGTCCTCCTCATTGATTGGCCCGTAGCGGGAGGAGGCGACGTCTCCCAATTTCTACAACCCCACACCATTGATTGGACCATCCCCAATTCCATCAAGGCATATATGCAAACATTGGTCAAATACAGTGCAGTGGACAGTTACTCCCACCCCTTTTTTCAACAATTACAAATACCCGCCCGTTTGGCGGACATTCCCATGATTGATATGCGCTCAAATCTATGGAGTGAACACGTCAATGCCGTTGTGTTGGTCAATGACACGAAATGCGTCCAAGAACAATTGTGGACCAAAGAACCTGTACCCAATCCATTTGCACCACAACAAAAGGTACTCTTTCGCATGGGATACTGGGCACTCTTTACATTTGCCGATCAAGTACACGAACGAAAACTCAATATGCAAATGAGAACGGGATTGTTACTCGAACAGCAATTGAAACGACAAGAACGAGAAGAAGCAATGCAACAACAACCAACTAGACGACGATTGCAACAAGATCCCCTCCAATTGAAAATCAACCAGGCCGTACGGACTCATTAGCCAAGGAAACCGCCGCAAACAAAAGCCATGATTCAACATCAACTGGCAGAACAGGAAAAACGAAAATCACAACTCCAACGATTGAAAAGGAAACCGCATGGCCGGGAAAACAACCCTCCAACCCTACATTGCGTACACATTCGAACCGGTAATGGAGGAAACTCATGGAATGATCCGGCGCGACACAATACCGGGCAAGACTTTGAACAATAATCTCTTCTCTTTTTTTAGGTTTGTGCAGCAAGCTGCTATTGTCATTGTTTTCATCTACGTTTTATCTTGACTTTGGTTTTGTTTACGTCCTCATTTCTATTTTTCTTCCAGAATGTTCGAATCCAAAACCCATTCTCCTCCAATCAAAGTTGCTATTGAATGCCGGATCAGTATTTTGGTCTGGGCTCACCGTTGCTCGCCACCCGGCACACAAACCCAAATTTGGTTGTTGGGGTTGGGCCTCTTTTGGAGACATTCTGTGCCACGTCAGTGCTTGGGAGGTCCGAATGTTGGATTTTTGCTATCCTCCACCACTGTTGGGACAGTGCCTTAGGAGAGTGTCAGGGAGAGGATAAAGAAGCTGAGTTATCAATTCTGGGGATGTACATGAATGCATTTGGAATTTCCAAGAAGCCAATCATTTCTAAGGTGTGCCATGCATATTATCTACTTGGTACTTGGGGCTGTGGTTGATGGTACTCTACAGCACTCAGTGCGAGAACTCTCCGGCAGAGTGCATTGGCCATGTCCTTCCAAGAAGAGAAGGTACATGATATGTCTTCAAGTGGGTAATAAAAGCATGGGTGGCTCTCTACTTCGCCATGCAGTCAAGAGGCCAGGGTGTTGCAAAGAATGCTCTTGGCAGTATGGCAAGCCCCACATCCCAGCAATTCGTACTGTAGCTGGAAGCGCCATCCAACAATGGCGCTCCATGCAACACAATCATGGAGTACTTTCTGGGGCCTTTTTTGTGTAGCCAAGAATGATATCATTGTGCAGTTGTCAAACCTGACTTTGCTTGTGATTGGAACTTCCTCTAGCTAGCTAGCTGCAGCAGCAGATGTGTTCGCATCGTCTTTTCAAGAATTCTTTTTCGTACAGTAGTTCGTTTTGTGGTGCTCTTCTGGCCCAGGATTCCACAACAACCAACGTGCAGTTGACTAGATATCAAGGAGTTGTTAAGCTCCTGGATTGGTACTGCCTCGTCGTTTGGTGAGTGAGAATCGTTTGGAGGTTCTGGCGACGACGGATCTCAATCTTCCATGCGGATGTTCCTGTTTGTCGTCTTCCTCCTTCAACATGGCGACTTTTGTGACTTGACATTGATATTTTTGAATGACTTGTTCAACGATTCTATTTTCGACCCATGCGAAATGAAGGGGTGTCATTTCATAGATGTGATCACAAAGGGGTATGTCCGGGTCGACAATGAGTTTGTGTAGCAGCAAGGAACAGTCTGGTTTTCCATGTCCATTGATGTGGAACCATTTGGCGGCAGGTACTTTGGCAATATCTACTTGATGAATTCGGTATATGCATTCATCGACAATAAAGTATGTGTCTCCCCCCGTAGCAGGTTGTTTTTGGCATAGTTTTTGATACTTGCAAAATGATATTTTGGGAAGCGTGGGAGCACTGGTTGTCGAGTGTCGGGCCATGATTTTTTTGGAAGGCGGCGCTAGCAGTTTGAAATCGAGAGGAACTTGCTGGTATTCCTCTGGCGGGCATTTTGGTACGAAGGGAGTCGCCATTATCTCGGCATCAATGTAATCCTCATCGACGCCATATTGATTCATTCCCTGAGCAATCAACTCGAGATAGCGACATTGGGGTAATGTCTCAATGGGAGAATCCAAGAATTCGTCTTCTACCTTGTCTGAGAACTCCACAAAACGGGCATTCACGGGGTCACTCTCGGTGCGAGGATCTCCTTCTCGTCGTTCCGTGTTGTCGTCGTAGCGATAAGGAATCACGCGATGGTAGGACGGGGTGCTTCCCGCGTCGAATTTGATCAGAGCTTCCCAATCTTCCTGAGATGTCAGCTTCATCAAGAGACCATGCACTTCGTACCCTCTTCTAGGAACAATGTTCGCCATGCCGCCTATGGCAAACGTTAACCGGTAGTCAACAAGGAACGCAGAGCGGATCTCGTCCACATGGATTCCTCGTCTCTTCCGCACCAAGTCGTTCACCACAGGACCATACGCAAAGTAATACAGCTCCTGCTGCGGCTGCTGGCTTTCAGTGTCGTTACTGGGCTGTCCCATACTATTAATAGATAGCTACTACCAGTAGTAGTTGTTGTTGTTCCTTATCTATCTTCTATTGTTACCCTTTAGCTTTTAGTAGATCCCCTCCAACAAGGCGACAAAGCAACTGCTGGCTAGTCGGCAAACAATTATTATGCGCATCAATTGCAAGCAAGTCGCAAAGCAGCTTTCGCTTTCCAAGGTGTCCAAGAAGCGTTCGACACCCAAAGTGGTTACCGGTACGGCTTTCTGTCTCTAGGATGTCCCATCGTGTTCAGAGCTTTAATCAATTATTCCCCTTTGATATGGGGTCTACGTATATGTAGTACCGGTACTCCGGTACAGGTACTCTCGGAGCTCACCATCGAAAAGTATTTAAACACTTCAAACCTGAAACCCTTGTAAAACAAATCGAGCCCTTTTAGCTTCAAGAGAAATTACAAAACCCGTATCCCTAGCTACGACTGCAAAACCAAGAAGCCACGGAGCAATGTCTATTACGTCTCCATGAGACGACGCTCCTTTTGGTAACCCCCTCAGTCGCACTCCAAAATCGATTTGCCGGCGTTTACTGTGGGAAAAAGAGTACCCGCACTTCAGTTGCAGAATCAACGGTCATGTGCATCGTTAAGTAACAAGTTCCCTTTCGAAAGATTTAGATTGATTCGATTCGATTGGTAGATAAAATAAAAGAACCATTGAAGTTACTAAGGTTAAGGATACTCGTACTGGTACCTCAATCTATCCTCGCACCTATGCTGCCGGTCTGTTCACTTGCTTCGTCGCAAGTCCATTATTGAAGGCGCAGCACTGACTTCTCTCCCTCATTGAATTCATATGGTAAACAGGAGGTAAATCCAAGCTTGGCCGACAACAATGGTGAGTGCTTTATCCAATCGGCCGATCGATCAAATCGATTCGAGATAAGCCTATTATCAAGAGTGTTAATTGAAGATACAGCGCTGACTTCTCTCCCTCATTGAATTGCTATGGTAAACAGGAGAGAATTCCGAGCTCGGCCGTCAACAGGTGAATTGCTCTTTAATTATTCGAATCGATCGGTCGGTCGCACCTCTATTATCTCGATTGTCAAGCCTCACTCAAGCCGGTCGTCTCCGGTGCAAATTCGAAAGCCATCCCTCATTCAATCCTATGGACTGCGGGAAGGCAGTCAGTTCTCGGCCCATGACGGCCAAGTTGGTGCAATTTGAAAAGCAAGGGTAAGTCGCTGGTTTTCTTCAGTTCAGCACAGAAAACAAAACTCATATCTATTTGTTGTTTTCTCTGCTGCACTGCCGACGGCCGGCGAACTACCATTGTCGAGTCGTTTTCGAACGACCGCTCCGGATAACAAGAAGATGAGAGGCTACCGCTACGGAGGAGGAGGCTCTGTTAACTCCAGCCCTACCAACAGCCTAAACAGAGGAGCCTATCGTCGTCGAGTCATTGACAGACAACAGCCACCGGAAGAGGCAACAACACACAAGAGAGTGGATCCTCCTACCGGATTCATCCCTTCTTGTTATTTCCTACTGTTTTGGTGGTGATTCCTGTGTCGGTACCCATTTTCCTGTATGTGCAGGGGTGTAAAATACTCATTAGTTTAACAAACTATGGCCACGGAGTGGCTTTTATGACGCGGGCAAGTGGTGGGGAAGCCCCCACCTAGCTGAGTCGTCATCTACTTATTTGCCCAATCAACATGACCTCATCCACTGGCCCAACGTGGAGCCAGCACCAAGTAGACAGATGCCCTGGGTAGGGGGTGAGCACATTGATAGGAACCTGCAGCGCAAAAACCTGGGTTACAGGGCTTACACAGGATTTTTGTCGGTATTGAAACATTATCACCATAGGGACCTGAGACCAGTTAGATTGCCAGACAAAGAGTGCTCGCCAGTAAGTGTGTCTGGTGATCAGGTCCCAAGCTGGTGCAAGGGCCTTGGCATGCAAGGCAAGATGCCAGCAGAGCCCGTAGGAGGTGGTACTCCTCAGCTGGACCAGAGCAGGTGTAACCCATCCAATGCACAAAAATGTTAGATAGAGGCCAACAAGCAGCAGAAGATGGGTCAAATGACACCTGGCAGTGTTGGTTCCCAGAGGAGGCACAGTGGCTGCTGGAGTGTTTGTGGGCTGTTCGAGGGTTGTTGAGTCAATAGAAGGAGGATAGGGGGGCACTGGAAGTGGGTGGGCCAGGGGAAGGAGGGGAGTCCTGTTGGTGTTTGAGTGTTGTGTAGGAGTTGGGATGTAGCATGGTTGATGGTGTGTTGTAGGATAGAGGCGTGCCTCGTTCAAGGGTGAGAACAAAGCATCCTCCCTGATAGGGTAGGGTGTGATTCGGAAGGGTTTGATCCTCAAGATGCTGCATGCTCTAGGAGCGTTGGCTGATCATCTGGGGAGTGGTGTTGTGAGTCTGCGGAGGATGGGGATGTGGTTGGTTGGGTGAAGTGTGGGAGTGGGGGAAAGTCTGGGAGGACCTTGGGTTGAGTGAAGTAGTGGGTAGACATGGGGAAGTCATGGTGGGGGTAGGTGGGTTGGGGGAGAGTTGTGTATCCTGGAGTATTGCTGTAGTGTCGTTGTTCAACCAAGCAATGGAGTTGCTTGTGAGTGGCGAGATGATTGATGTGGAGGGTGTTTCAAGGGGCAATGCTGAGGCACTGGTAATCAAGTTTATATCAAGTGTTGGGTTGTTGTTCACTGGATCAAAGGCTGTGGCCAAGTCTTGTGCAGTTATACCCACTACTGCAGGAGAAGATGGTATCGAGCCAAAGGTGTTAGGGATTCTTTCAGGGAAACTGGAGAAGTCACGCTATAGCCAGTAGAGGCATTGGTGGGGGATCAAGGGTGTTGTTGGTTGATGGGGCTGTGTTACTGATTGACACTGTGTTGTCTCAAGGGCTGGTATCAATCTGTTGTAGGTCAGACATGCAACAGAGATCAAGCCAAGATGTGGAGAAGGGTACTCGATTCAGGTGGAACGTGGAAAGTCACTGGAGAGTCACTCAACAATCAATGAGAGAGAGATAAAGTCAGTTATGTATTAATATCTATCCACACCACGCTGCAGTTCTGTTGGGGCTCAATCCTTTGGAGCACCACACTCAGTAGGAGAGTCAGGTGCAGGTAGCAGAGAGGTGGCTGTGTCAATGAGTGTTGCACAATCTAGCCAAACACGCAAGAGGGGCAGCTTTTGTAGTTGTTCTTGGGGGGTAGGATCCTGTGGAGAGGAGTGGTACCCAGGGAGGGGCTGTTGAACGATAGAGTGCAGCCAAGCTGGTGATAAAGTTTAGGAGGAGACTGCTGCATGAGGGCTCTTGCAGCCGGGTACTCTTGAACTCAAGTCCTTACAGAACTCTGTGTTTGTTTTGTTGTTCCTCTTGGTAGGAGTTAGATATAAATGGAGGGGTGTAACAGTACAGTAGGTGTCGATCGTCAATCATCTGTATAGGGATAGGACTGGTTGGATCAGTAGGATCAGTTCCAACAGGACGTCGGGAGAAACCACTAGTGGCCGGAGAAAGTAAGAAACAGTGTAATTCTCTTTCGTTGGTCACTGAGTATTCGTGAAGTCCGCTTGATAGAGGAGCTGTCGTTCGATCCGTACGGAGGAAGAGGAGGTACGGAGAAGAGGTACGGTCGGCGGGAAGTCGATTCAGGATACGGGTTTGGATTCGTTGATTCGATTCGTAATTATCGATTCGCGATTCGGATTCGCGATTCGGATGAGTCAGTTGCCTAGGGGTAAGGTTAACCGAGCTGTGGTGTTGTGGAAGAGGAGGAGCGATCGTTCGAAAAAGAGGATCGGCCGACAATAGGATTTCTTCGGCCGTCAGGAGCTTAGTTCAGAGAGCAACAAATACGTATGGATTGTTTTCTGTACTGTGCTGTGGAAGGCCGGAGATTTTCTTGTGTTCAATTCTCCAATTGGCCGTCGGCGGCCGAGAATAGAAAACCCGCCCGATCTCGTAGATTTCAATTGGGATGGCTTTCTATCTGAACCGGAGAACCGGCTTGATAGTCGCTTGATAGGGGAGGTGCGCTTGATAGGAGATAGGAGGTATCGATCGTTTCGGCTTGAAGAGGTGGGAAAAGAGAGAAAAAAGGATTATGTTTTCCTGTGATGACGTTGAGTTGATCTATAGTAAAACAGTACCTTCAACAGATAACAGAAAACAGGCTTCCTGAGTCCTTTCGCTTGTTTCAATCTTCTAATGGTGCTAATAGTAGTGTAATGGTATAGTTATGACCGATTGGTTGTGTTTGTTGCTATTAGTGTTGTTGTTCTTGTAGTGACAATCCAGAGGGGAAGCGCTTCGGTGTTCGGCTTCCCTTGAAAAAGTACATTTTCCTGTATGTGCAAGTCAGTACTGTTGCCACTAGCTAACGGCAGTGGCTACAATGGCTGGATTGCAATATTCGGTTGTGTCGTGTATTCGTCATAAGGATCCAATGCGAGGTGCCAAGTGCAGCTCAAAGCCGAACCTGGGTGTGTTCAGTACTGTTGCCATGTCTCGATGTAACTATGCCAGGTCGTAGAGTGCTACAATGGCTGGATAATTCGGTTGTGCATGTATTCGGTCATAAGATCCAATGCGGGGTGTAAAATACTCATTAGTTAACAAACTATGGCCACGAGTGGCTTTTATACGCGGGCAAGTGGTGGGGAAGCCCCCACCTAGCTGAGTCTCATCTACTTATTTGCCCAATTCAACATGACCTCATCCACTGGCCCACGTGGAGCCAGCACCAAGTAGACGATGCCCTGGGTAGGGGGTTGAGCACATTGATAGGGAACCTGCAGCGCAAAACCTGGTTACAGGGGCTTACACAGGATTTTTGTCGGTATTGAAACCATTATCACCATAGGAACCGTGAGGACCAGTAGATTCCAGACCAAAGAGTGTCGCCAGTAAGTGTGTCTGGTGATCAGGTCCCAGCTGTGGCAGCCTTGGTGCAAGGCAAGATGCCAGAAGAGCCCGTAGGAGGTGGTACTCCTCAGGCTGGACCAGAGCAGGGTGTAACCCATCCAAGCACAAAAATTGTTAGATAAGAGCCAACAAGCAGGCAGAAGATGGGGGTCAAATGACACACTGGCAGTGTGTGGTTCCCAGGAGGGAGGCACAGTGGCTGCTGGAGTGTTGGTGGCTGTTCGAGGGGTTGTTGAGTCAATAGAAGGAGGATAAGGGGGCACTGGAAGTGGGG